GAAGGGTGGTAACTACCCCTTAGACAGCCTGCAAATTGATAATCTCAGAAACTCCACCAATCTAGTCATGTCTGTGCAGGATATAAACTTGGCTGTGAATACTGTCTGTAGGTTAAGCAAGGAAGAGGTACATTCATTATTCCAGATTTTTTTGGGATTTTCGCTCCTAGTCTCTATAAAATGAAAATATGAATACTATTTCAATATAGTAGTTAGGACAAGTCAGATGATTTGCCCCAAAATGTCACTGTGTTTAAAAAATGTTCCCATCAGAGAACCAAAAAGAAAAATTCACTAGTTTGTCAGAGACAATTTGTATTGAAAAATGTTTGGAGACGAGAAATTATGGTATCTTCAAAAAATATGGAATTTTCACTCAGCTTTGGACGATTAGGAATGTTCCTGTTTTCAACATTAAAAATGGATTTTTTGGATGACAAATTCGTATTTGACTTGACACTTCTCAGGTCTCAGTGACAATTGGTGAAGTTGGCAATCAAATGAGTTACAGGATGTTTTCATTGATTGATCTTGAATTTACCATTTTCATTTTCAGATTTCAGAAGTGAATACCATGTTCTATCTATATCAACTGAACAGGAAGCAATGCTATTGTCCCCATTCAGAAGAATGCAAGCAAATTCCTTGATTTTTCTCTTCTGGTTGTTCTTTTTTTCCAATGATTTTAATATTTTTCTACTCTGCCATAAATGCAGTGACATTTTGGGGCAAATCATCTGATTTGTCTTCACTATAGGTATATTGAGATAGTATTCAATATTTATTTTACAAAGAGGAGAGAAAATCCCAAAAAAAAATCTGGAATAATGAATTTTCTGAGGGGTGTTTATGATTTTTTCAATACTTGGAAGCAAGGTTAGACAGCCTGCAAATTGATCATCTCAGCATATGATGTTCTTTACCTATTTGGTAATATATATGCAGAATATGGACTTGGCTACACTTTTCTGAGGGGTGTTAATGAATTTCTGAGGGTTAATCCACTCTCTCAAAGACGTACAGGGACTGGACAGATTGGAGGATATCATCAGATATTATGGAATATTATAAGCAGGAGATTGTACATTTGCATTACAAGATTAGGAATATTATCCTAAGATTGGACCTTGGATTGGAAAGATTACATGGGGATTGGACACCAAGTGTAGGTACAGTGTGTTCAGTTTTCGATGCTTTTGCATGATATCTCAGTTATCTTTCGAGATAGAACCTTGTGGTTTTCGCGGTCCTGTACCACTTTTCTGTGAAACTCAAGATGGCCTAATCAGATTTTGCATAACTGTTCGCGTTTATGAGATACAGGGCGATTTTGAAAATTTATACTTTTTGGACCCCCTCTTTTCAAATTGTTGTCCACTTTCCCTCACACGCTTTCTCAATACGTCTTAATGCATTCATAATCATTAAAGGATGTCTTTGTAATTCCTGGAAAGCTGCCTCTGTTGTTGCACAAAGTTCTTCAAGATATTTGTGACTCTTACTGTATCAAGACGTATTGAGAAACTGTGTCAATTGTGTGTTATGGAAAATGGACATCAATTTGAATAATTCAGTGAATAAGTTATTGAATAATTCCGAAATTCAATTGTATTTGTAAATATTTGATCTGGTGCTTATTCTACATTATGAACTTTTTATTACTATTTATTTGTTGCTATCAGGTACATAATTTTTGTGTTTTCTTAGTTAATTAGTGTTGGTATTGTTTTTGTCCTCTTTATGGAAAATCAAAATGAATATTCCTTCAATTGGAACTTTTTTATAAGAAAAATTCATAGCCCACTATTAAAATTCAATGTTTCGGTGATTTCAGAGCATTTTTGAAAATTTCATATACATACAATATAAATCATTTTGAAGAGAAAAAAATGAGGAATTTTATGAGCATATAAAATACAGGGTGTTCCATTTGAAAAATCATAAGTTTGAATCGTATCCAAAACCATACCCCGAAAAAAAAATTTGAGTGCGCCACTGGATTCTGCGTGAACTTTTATATGGGATGAGATTTTAATTTGACATTTTTGCTGAGAAACTTCTTAGCTATAGAGGGGGTCCAAAAAGTATAAATTTTCTAAATCGCCCTGTATCTCATAAATGGAAACAGTTATGCAAAATCTGATTAGGCCATCTTGAGTTTCACAAAAAAGTGGCACATGACTGTGAAACCCGCAAGGTTCTATCTCCAAAGATAACTGAGATATGCCACAAAAGCATCGAAAACTGGACACACTGTACACATATTGGACATAGTGGTTGACCCCTTGTGAATTTCTCAAACAGAAGGGTGGTAACTACCCCTTAGATGGCCTGAAAATGGATCATCTCAGAACATGAATGTTTATGTAGAATATCAACCTGGTAAAAGTTGTCTGGAAGGTGTTCTTCATTTATTTAATTATTTAGAAAGCAACTGGTGATCTGGCTGACATCTCAAAATTGGCTGCTGGAACTTCACACTGGTCATTTATTTCAAAATTTTCATATTCAGAATCTCATTCACCATCCAATTTACTTTTGCAGGGTTTTAATATAATAGAGGAATAATCATCTTCAAGGTGGCCTATACAAAGGTAGGAAGCATTTTTTTACCCATATTAATAGATAGATAGATAGATAGATAATTTATTCATTTCTACAGAGTTGTCTTACGCGTCTGAGAAGTAAGTCACATACATACAGTTTAAAATCTAGTATAAACATTCAATAAAAAAAAAATAAGCATAGAAATAAAACATTACCACAGATTAAAAATAATCACTGACTGAGTATGGCTCCATACTGAGTAAGTAATTCCGTACTGAGCCAAGGAATCTTTTGGAATTTTGAATAGCTTTTATCTCATCCGGAAGATTATTATAAAACTTTATTGCATTGTACAGTGGACTTGTTTCGAAAATACACTTTTTGTGGATTGGGTAACTATAGTTGTTTTTAAGTCTCCTGTTATGTTCATGATTCATTTTGTGACTGCTGAAGTGATTTTCATGTGTGGTCTGGAATTTGATAGCCTCATAAATAAACAAGGCTGGTACAGTTAACATGTTGTTTTTTCTAAATATTCCCCGGCATGAGCCATCTATCTTCAAATCGAAAATTATCCTCACTACCTTTTTCTGGCATATAAAAACTTTATCCAAGTCCGCGCAACCTCCCCATGTCCCAATGCCAAATTTCATTCTTGAAAAGAAATTTGCATAATAAACTGTGATCAGAGTGCTTTGGTCAACATTGTGTTTCAGCACTCTTATAGCATATGTAATTGAAGACAGTTTATTACACAAATTTTCTACCTGAGTTGTCCATGTCATTTTGTCGTTTATATAGACCCCTAAAAATTTGACAGTGTTGTTACATATGATATTTTGATTGTCAATGTTGATAGATTGTGGCTTTTCAATAATATTGTTGATTCTCAGCAACATACAATCCGTTTTTTCATTGTTGATCATCAACTTATTTTCATTGAAATAATCTTTTGTTCTCCTCATTATCAACGTTCCTTTTTCAACGATATCAATAAAATTGGGACCCCTAAGTAAAAAGTTAGTGTCATCAGCATAATTTAAAATTTTGGTGGAAGAATCAGTTACTACATTACGAAAATTACAAAAAGTATTGGACCCAGGATACTGCCCTGCGGGACACCCATGGATATCTCCAAGGCACTCGACCTAACTGCACCCTGTTCAGATGATAGTTCAACTACTTGTTTTCTATCTTTAAGGTATGATTTGAACCAATTATAGGAGTTACCACGTATACCATATTTATATAGTTTATCTAGCAAAATATTATGATCCATGCAGTCAAATGCCTTGGAGAGATCCACAAAAATGCCACAAGAGAGATCTCCGTCATCCAAGGCTTGCAAAACTTCGACACTGAAGTGAAATAAGGCAGTCTGGATTGATTTATTTTCAAGATATCCATGCTGGTTCTCTGCAAATATCTGGAACTTTTCAAAAAAATTTACCAGTCTTTTTGCCATCAGAATTTCAAGAATTTTTGCAAAGCAAGTTAATAAACTGATAGGCCTATAATTTGATAGACAGTCGGTGTCACCCTTTTTGTGCAAGGGTTTCACTATTGCTAATTTCAAAGCCTCTGGAAAAGTTCCCTCCTCGAAAGATTTGTTTGCTATGAAAGTCAAAATATCAGATATTTCATGTACACATGCTTTTGGGACATGGATCGGAACTTCGTCGAATCCCGTGCTTTTTTCATTTTTCATACTCATAATTACCCTTACAACTTCTTCTGGTGTTACAGGATTCAGGAAGAAATTAAAATTATGAAATTCCATTAGTCTTTGATATTCGTTTTCTCTAGAAGCACTCGTTTGCAACGATGAAAGGAGGGAAGCATTATTCACAAAATAATTATTGAACTGTTCTGCCTTATTATATGGGTTGTTTGTTTGAAAATGATTATGATTATTTGGCTGTACTATTTCTTTTACTGACTGCCACATGGCATTCATTTTGTTATCGGAGTGATTCAGTTTATTTATGTAATGCTGTCTTTTTGACGTATTCAATAGATTATTGTAACCAATTTTTGTTTTATTGTATATATCTTTGTATTTTGAATCTAAATTTGATAGGCTCTGGAATAGTACTAGCTGATCTTTCATATTTTTAATAGAAACCTTTTGCCTTATATTCATGCAAGAATTTTGCCCAAAATGATGCTGCTCACTTTTCAATCACCCTGCATATTTTTGTGATTACATGAAATCACAGATGTCAACAAAAAAATAGAACATGGTATGGACATGTGAATTTCACATTTTTAGGGATTAGACTGGTAACTTATGGGTGGAAAATAAGGTGAATGCAGAGGTGAGCCTCTTGTGAGTCTCTTTGGTGCATAACCCAATACACATGGTATAAGGATGGACAGACTATTCCATCAGAAATGTGTACCTAACTTTATTAGCTGAACCTATTCTGGGTACTATGTACTAGTATATTTACCGCTAGAAGAATAGGAAATATCTTCAAGGTTGTTCCACTAGCAATCCTAGATAATATTCTTTCATGTATTTCCAATCTTATATCAGCATCTAGATCTAATGAATTCAGGCAATCTATTACAGCTCCAATCAATGCATCATCTTCATCCAGCAATTTACAAAGTTGCTTTGCAGTTTCATGATATTGATTATCAGGAATAATTTCTGGGATTGAATCAAGTATTTCCAATTGTGCTGGATAACTAGCCACTTCCAGAATGTCTGTCAATTTTGCAGTTAAAATATCTGGATCCTTTAGGAAGGATAGATAGCGTAATGGACTGAGAAGTAAATGTAACCAAGATGTGTCCTCTTCAGACTCTGATGATACAATAGTCATCTCATTCAACAGTAGATTCATCACCTCTTTTTGTAAACAATTCACCCTGAGAAAGATTCTGAAATTATCATTCATTGAGTTATAGTTACCTATGCAATAACTACTTGGAAAAATAATACCTAAATAAACTTTCTTGCTCAATTTGTCCACATCTTCCTGAAAAAGATTCTTCATTTTCCTTCTTCAAGTTGGTGAGAAGGAGAGCTTTATGAAAATATTTCTCATTTTTACACATTTCTTTCAGTCCATTTAAAAATCCTTTGATTCTGTCATTATCATTATTGAAATGTTTTTCCAGGTCTCTCACCACCAATGCCTGTTCTTTATATAGTATATGTGGAACATTAGCATCTTCTAAGTTCAATTGTATTCCTAGTTCTTGTAATTCATATTTGAATGTTGATGTTAGATAGTGTTGAGGATTTTGGCTATTTTTCAACATTTTATAAATTTCTGATTCAAACTTCAACAGACCAATGTAATTTGAATTGAAAACTTGAAAAGTTGTAAACCAACAAATCAACAGTCAACACTGGAAAGAGTTCAAAAGTCCAACTAAACTTAACACTTCTCCCGTCAGTCCTGTCAGTCAAAGGCAATAGGTCGCGTGCAAGAACTGTCAGATGACCGACCCTGGAGGCAAAACATATTTGTTTACAAAGTGATCGAAATAGTTTTCCACAATTATTTTGGCATATGAATCGTATTTTTCCGCTATTCATCAATTCGCTAATGCCATCACATTGTGCTGTTGTAAAATGCACAAAAACTGCAGCGGAAGATGAAGAAATCCGGATGGTACATTATGATTCAAAAGTAAGTACCTATACTATAGTCACTCACATAGTTTTCATTTTTGAAATTTGGTTATTTCTCTGATTTCTCATCGGAATTCCTTCTGCAATAGGATCAGCTAATAGAAATATACCTGAAATTTCTAGAATAATGCAAGAAGATTGGATTCATGATTCATGCAATCAATCGGTAGGACTGGTCTGAGATGCTGACGATCGTGTGTGTTGTAGACATTTTCAATCTATTAGCAGCATTACCTCGTATTGCAGAAGTGGCAGAAGGCAGAAGGAATTTTAATAAGGAATGACAACATTTCATAATGCTAACTATGTGAGATTACTATTTACCTGAAAAATCATATTCCCTTAGTCTCTAGCTTGCTGCATTTTTTGTGCATTGTACAACAGCACAATGCGAAGGCATGCTTGAATTAATATGAATAACGCAAGAAACACAAAATATTGTGAAAAACTATTTCAACCTTTTGCACGCGACCTATGACAAAGAATGGGTTGTGTGCAAGAACTGTCAGATGACCGACGCTGGAGGCATAACATTGAAACACAATGTCACTTTTCTTATTTGGTTACAAGGTTACAAGTGATCGAAATAGTTTTTCACTAGGCATTCGAATCGTATTTTTCCGCTATTCATCAATTCGCTCATGTCATCACATTGTGCTGTTATAAAATGCACAAAAACTGCGGCGGAAAAGTACATTATGATTTGAAAGTGAGTACCTACTAAACTATAGTCACTCACCTATAGTTTTCATTTTTGAAATTTGGTAATTTCTCTGATTTCCCATCGGAATTCTTTCAGCGATAGGAGCTAATAGAAATACACCTGAAATTTCTAAAATAATGCAAGAAGATTGTATTCATGCAATCAATCGGGAGGACTGGTCTGTCATGCTGACGATCGTGTGTGTTGTAGACATTTTCAATCTATTAGCAGTATCAGCTTGTATTGCAGGAGTGGCAGAAGGCAGAAGGAATTTCAATAAGGAATGACAACATATCATAATGATAACTATGTGAGATTAATATTTACCTGAAAAATCATATTCCTCAGTCTTTTGCTGCATTTTTTTGTGCATTGTACAACAGCACAATGCGAAGGCATGCTCGAATTAATGAATAGCGCAAAAAACACGATTCGTATTTCAATCCTTTGATTCCTCTGTAACCAAATAAAAAAGTGAGGTTGTGTTTCAATAATTTACAAAAAAATGAGGTTGTGTTTCAATATTTTGCCTCCAGGGTCGGTCCAAGGAGAAGTATACCCTTAGGGTCGGTTATCGTGCACGCGACCTATGAGGCCTGTTCGTTTGTATTGCTAAACTTGCTAAAGTTGCTTTTTTTCCCATAGTTGTCTCTGTTCATAGCATGAGTTAAACAAAGAAAGTCAGAAAAAAATTCAAGTTCAGCAGGTAGAGCAAGGACAAACGAACAGGCCTATAGTATCACCTCTTTGGCAATGAACTCAGAGTTTACATTCAGTTCATTAGTCAAAGGTGGACGTCGACACTGACGAAACTGTCATGCCATAGCCGAGTCAATGACGGCTAAATATCTGGACTGTCTGACGGGTTATACATGACTGTTCATTCAGCGAAAATCGCCAAATCGCCCTGTAATGAAATTTCGAAGGGACGGCAAGTGGCGTCATCTATTTCCTGTGTCAAATGAGCTATTCAACATAACCTGCATTATTTGTTGACAAATTTTCTCACTGTCAGCCTGTCACTCATTGTCATTCGAGATTGGAGAGCTTTGTTCGAGATACCAAGTAAAAATGTGAAAAGGCCAACAAAATGAAGTGGTTAGGAGTGTTCATGCCAAATAACGCTATTATATGCATAAATAATAATGCTATTCAAGTGGAATTTCATTGATTGAATTTTTAACTGCCCAATAAGAGCCATGGTAGACCTTATCACCAAATACTGCTGTATTCTCAAAATGAAATGTACTGCAACATTTCATATTGTTTCACGAAATCTGAGATCTCAAGTGTTATTTCTTTATTTGTATTTTCAGGAAGATACTGAATTTTCTCAACACAATAATGATGAAGCAGCTAGCTCTTCATGAGGTTTGATCGAATGATGACTGGAGACATTCAATTCTGATGATGCTATCTATGCATAACAAAAATATTTACTATAAGGTGAGCTTTGTGAACAGTTGTTTAATCAGTTGAGGGTTCAGAAAGAGAATCAAGAATTTTAACTACAATATCAGGTATCTCCATGAATAGCAAATTAAATATCAATTTATCATTTCATACTTATATTTCATATCAGATATACAGACAAATTGTACTTTCAAAATTGATAGAACTATGCCAGCTTCAAAATCATTAAATGTTCTATACCAACATTTCTTTATATATAGGTTCTGGGGATGGCATCACAATGAATATAAAACGGCTTGGATATGGGATCTTATTGACTTTGGAGGATGAAGCTAGGCTACCTGGAGATCCGTTGGACACTGGAAATAAAAGAGGAGGATGATTTATATATATATATATATATTATTGAGTATCCCACAATTTTTATTATCTGTTCAGAAATCAGCAGAGAAGAAGCATGTTTTGAGTTCAAATATAAGCTCATCATCAGCTAATTTAATGGAAAAGGAAATTGTTTATTCTGGTGACTGTCTATGGAATAAAATTATTATATTACTTGAATAAATGCTCTCTATACATATCATCTATATATCTATCAATCCATATTTTTCAACCATCTTCAAAACTTTGTGGAGACAGAAATAGTTATATGCATTTCAAAAGTTGAGTTTGCACTCTTTTTATCTTTTTAGATCTACATGGGGAAGCTATATATAGTTAGTGGACTAGTACAGGGCCTACTCTATCTTACCGGGCCGTAGTCTATCCCCTCTCTCTCGACGCTGTCGTCACACTAGTAGGTTGAGATTTCACATCAGTCCGTACTGATGCGTTCGTTATTGATAGGCTATAGCTCATTTACTATAGATTTCAGAAGCACACTCAATCGAGACGAAATGATCCCGAACAAATTCCTCAACTTTTGGTGAAAAAATGAATCCAATAGGATGAATCAATACCGAGTTATGGCGTTGTAACGAAATTCCATTTTATTGAAAATCAGGGCGTTGTACTACAGAATACTATTTTTTGCAAATTTGGAATTGGAATAAGATGAAACTAACTCAATATATCAAACTACGATAATGAATCAATTGAATAGTGAAAAAATTGTAGAGTTACCTACAATGAGTCCGAAAGAAATTGAATATAAAGAGCGAGTAAAAAATGGGCTGTTATACCTACCTACTCAAATTTCGCTGTATTACAATTTCGCGGTAATTCCTTGGACTGGTAAAATGCGATATACTTTTTATTACTCATTTTATTTCTAAATGGCGTATGGTTCAGACCAACTAATATTGGTGCCTGAAAAATTCGAAACAATATTTCTACAATGTAAGTCACAACATGAAATTTTGGAGAATTTAGCAGAAATTGAAATCAATTCCCTTCTCAATTATTCCGAGAATCAATGTTGCAGTTGTGGGTCTTTTGATTTAATCAGCAGAACATTCTCTAAAACCATTTCGAATATTCTGTTGAACAATTATTGCAAAATAAAAAAAAATAAAAAAGAAAAATCACTAAACATTCAAGATGAGATATATAGTTCAGTTTTCAAATTTCAGTTTGTGATTGAGATGATGTATATATATTTTTTGTTATCAGTGTATTTCATTTTGTGATATCTATCAATTTTTTTATTTTGTCATGCTGATCATTTTTACAGTTTATTTTGTTTGGTTTTGTTTGTGTATAAGGATTCAACGTTTTTTTTTCATTTTTTCCCTATTCATTCATATATCGTTGTTCTGGGTATTTTATTATTCAGTTCGTTATATTCATTTTTATATCTCTTATTGTTGGGATACATATTTTTTCAATTATTTTTGTTAGGTTGTGTTCATATGAACTCCACATATTTTGTTCTTTTTAATTCTGATAGTTTGCAAATATATTCAAATCAAATTTTTTTCACGAATTTAACGTTATCATTCGAATATATACTCTTCAGCAGAAAATAATTGTTACCGAATAGGCGTTTTTGTGTAATAACACACTCGAATAATAGGATTTTTAACGTCATAAAAGTGCGTCCTGATCATCTTTAGAGATAAACGCTGCTAAAACCCTTCGAGATAACAAAATATAGGTAGCTACGTTTGGAATAAGATAGTTACGTAAAATCAATAAGAAAATATACCACAAACATTTTTACAACAATAGTTACTTGGACAAATGAACATATACATATAACATATAACATGGTTATGGTTGCTGTATGGTTACCGAGCTAATCAATTCCTTATGCGGCGACTAAAGGACTTTAATCTGAATCAGGAATGAATAATGCGCGAAAATTGATGAACCAAAAGTAAGCTGCAGTCTAACGGAATTGATTTTCAAAAGTGTCTAGTGGGCGATAGAGAGAGCGAGATGAACCATGTTTTAATCAGCGCATTGATATACGAAATTTAAGTATGGTATGATTCGATATAGGCAAAATAGGGTGATAATAAAATCGGCTCACCTGTAGACAGAGACTCTGTAGGTAACAACACTCCCCCGGATTTTCGCGAGACTCTTCATCTGAAGGTGAGTTTGCGTTGTTTAGTTTTCTCCGTGACATAATGAGTCTACTTTAACTGCCGCTGATGCGTTTGTTAATAAAAGAGG